TCTCCTCCATCCTCTCCTCCATCCTCTCCTCCATCATCTCCTCCATCTCCTTCTCTTCCTTCTCCTCCATCTCCTCCTCCACCTCCTCCTCCTCCTCCTCCTCCTCACACCCTCATTTCCCCTGGGGCAGAACGAGGTGCAGAACATCAAGTTCAACAGCTCGGGGCAGTGCGAGGCGCCGCTGGTGAGGACCGACAACCCCAAGAGCTGGTACGAGGACGTGGAGGGCTGTGGCATCCAGTGCCAGAACCCGCTGTTCACCGAGAAGGAGCACCGCGAGATGCAYGTCTACATCGCCGCCTTCAGCTCCGTCACCATCTTCTGCACCTTCTTCACCCTGGTGAGACACGGGATCGTGGGGTTTTGTCACCAGAAGGTGACCAGGCACCGAGCTGTCCCTTTCTCCACCCCCAGGCCACGTTTGTCGCCGACTGGAGGAACTCYAACCGCTACCCTGCTGTCATCCTGTTCTACGTCAACGCCTGTTTCTTCGTGGGCAGCATCGGCTGGCTGGCGCAGTTCATGGATGGCGCCCGTGACGAGATCGTGTGCCGGGCTGAYGGCACCATGCGGCTGGGGGAGCCCACGTACGTGTCACCTTTGTCCCCAACCCGCCCCCAGAGCTGTCCCCAGCACCATGGAGGGCTCTAGGGCTCCCTGGACGGTGTCCCCTCGAGGAGGTCGGTGACGTTTTCACCTCTCCGCAGCTCCAACGAGACGCTGTCGTGCGTCATCATCTTCGTCATCGTGTACTACTCGCTGATGTCGGGGGTCATCTGGTTTGTCATGCTCACCTACGCCTGGCACACGTCCTTCAAGGCGCTGGGCACCACCTACCAACCGCTGCTGGGCAAGACCTCCTACTTCCACCTCATCACCTGGTCCATCCCCTTCGTGCTCACCGTGGCCATCCTGGCCGTGGCGCAGGTAACGGGGCCACCRTTGGGAGGTGATGGTTCAGGTGACACCCACCAGCTGACCCTGCTGTCCCTGTCYCTGCCAGGTGGACGGTGACTCTGTCAGTGGCATCTGCTTYGTGGGCTACAAGAACTATCGCTACCGAGCCGGCTTCGTGCTGGCACCCATCGGGCTCGTCCTCATCGTGGGGGGCTATTTCCTCATCMGGGGTAGGTGTGGGCTCTGGGAGGGGACAGGGTGACAGCGGTGTCCCCACAGCCTGACCCCGTCCTCSTCCACCACAGGGGTCATGACGCTCTTCTCCATCAAGAGCAACCACCCTGGGCTGCTGAGCGAGAAGGCGGCCAGCAAGATCAACGAGACCATGCTGCGCCTGGGTAAGGGACTCCTGAGGGATTGGAGTGGGAATGGGGACCTTTTGTCCCCTCAGGGGTGGCAGCAGCAGGGGACAAAGCTGTGGYGATGGTGGCAYRGCCCCAGAGYGGTGTCTTTGTCTYGGAGTTTGGCTGAAYYRGGGATGTCCCACTTCCCTTCCAGGMATYTTYGGCTTYTTGGCSTTYGGCTTTGTTTTCATCACCTTTGGCTGCCATTTCTACGACTTCTTCAACCAGGCCGAGTGGGAGCGCAGCTTCCGGGAATACGTCCTGTGAGTGGCACGGTGCCAGGAGGGCGGGAGGGGACACTGGTGGCACCCAGCGCCTGGCAGAACAGGCAGCCCGTGTCCCCTGCTGCAGTGCCACCAATCCTATCCTGACAGCCCTGTCCCCACGTGTCCCTGTTGGCAGGTGCGAGGCCAACGTGACCATCGCCACCCAGACCAACAAGCCCATCCCGGAGTGTGAGATCAAGAACCGGCCCAGCCTCCTGGTGGAGAAGATCAACCTGTTCGCCATGTTCGGCACCGGCGTCTCCATGAGCACCTGGGTGTGGACCAAGGCCACCCTGCTCATCTGGAAGCGCACCTGGTGCAGGTGGGACCCCCAGGGTGGCTCTGTGGAGCCCTTCCTGCCCCATCCAGTGGGATTTTGGAGGACATTCCCAACCGTTTGTCCCTCAGCTCAGGAACGGGGTGGCCTCTCCTCTGCACATTTGTGGGACACCTCCATGCCCAAGGGCCCCATTTCCCAGCCTGGTGTCCCCATCTGGAATGGGACAGGGAGATGGGGAAGGTCTCTCTACCCCTGGCTGTGTCACCCATGCCCCCCCTGTCCTCTTGTTGTCCCCAGGCTGACGGGGCAGAGCGATGACCAACCCAAGAGGATCAAGAAGAGCAAAATGATCGCCAAAGCCTTCTCCAAGCGCAAGGAGCTGCTGCGCGACCCGGGCCGGGAGCTGTCCTTCAGCATGCACACCGTGTCCCACGACGGCCCCGTGGGTACGTGCCCGGGGCAGGGGACACCCCAGCAGCACCCCAGGGTCCCCAAAATCTGACCTTGACCTGATCCTCTTGTCACCACAGCCGGTTTGGCGTTTGACATCAACGAGCCGTCGGCGGACGTGTCCTCGGCGTGGGCTCAGCACGTCACCAAGATGGTGGCCAGGAGAGGAGCCATCCTGCCCCAGGACATCTCCGTGACACCCGTGGCAACACCTGGTGAGTGTTTGGGGACAATGTGGGGAAGTTCTGGGGATGGGCTCCACTGAGGGTGTTGAGGGTAGCAGCACCTGGCAAGTGTTTGGGGACAAGGTGGCGAATTTCTGGGATGGACCAGGCTGAGGGTGTTGGGGGTGGCAGCACCTGGTGAGTTCTTGGGGACAATATGGGGAATTTCTGGGCTGAGGGTGTTGGGGTGGCAGCACTTGGAAGGTCCTTGGGGACAATTTCTGGGGGACAGCTGGGCTGAGGGTGTTGGGGGTGGCAGCACCTGGAAGGTCCTTGGGGTTTTGAGGAATTTTTGAGGGGTGGCAGCACCTGGCGAATGTTTGGGGATTTGAGGAATTTCTGGGGGATGGATTGGGCTGAGGGTGTTGGGGATGGCAGCACCTGGAAGGTCCTTGGGGTTTTGGGGAATTTCTGGGGGATGGATTGGGCTGAGGGTGTTGGGGGTGGCAGCACCTGGAAGGTTCTTGGAAATTTTTGAGGAATTTCTGGGGGATGGATTGGGCTGAGGGTGTTGGGGGTGGCAGCACCTAGCAAGCATTTGGGGATTTGAGGAATTTTTGGGGATGGGCTGGGCTGAAGTTGTTGGGGATTGCAGCACCTGGAAGGTCCTTGGGATTTGAGGAATTTTTGAGGGGTGGCAGCACCTGGCGAGTGTTTGGGGACAATGTGGGGAATTTTTGGGGATGGACGAGGCTGAGGGTGCTGGGGGTGGCAGCACCTGGCGAGTGTTTGGGGATTTGAGGAATTTTTGGGGATGGGATTGGCTGAGGGTTTTGGGGGTGGCAGCACCTGGTGAGTGTTTGGAGTTTTGGGGAATTTCTGGGGAACAGCTGGGCTGAGGGTGTTGGGGGTGGCAACACCTGGTGACTGTTTGGGGACAATATCGGGTATTTCTGGGGATGGACCGGGCTGAGGGTTTTGGGGGTGGCTGCACCTGGTCAGTGTTTGGGGATTTGGGGAATTTCTGGGCTGAGGGTGTTGGGGGTGGCAGCACCTGGAAGGTTCTTGAGAATTTGGGGAATTTCTGGGGGATGGATTGGGCTGAGGGTATTGGGGGTGGCAGCACCTGGAAGGTTCTTGGGGATTTGGGGAATTTTTGGGGATGGATTGGGCTGAGAGTGTCGGGGATGTGCAGGGAGGCACAGTTGAGGGGTGACAGGAGCCACAGACAGGACATGGCCACTCACAGCCACCTCCCWCCACATCCCCCAGTGCCACCAGAGGAGAGAGCCAACCTGTGGGTGGTGGAGGCCGACGTGTCCCCGGAGCTGCAGCAGCGCGGCGGCCGCCGGAAGAAGCGCAGGAAGAAGAAGAAGAGGGAGGTGACCCCGGACCCCGAGCGCTGCCCTGGGGTCTCTGCCACCCTCCCAACCCCCAGCGCTGTCCCCCGCCTGCCCCGCCTGCCACCCCGGCCCTGCCTGGTGGCTTTTGGCCCCGATGTCCTCCAGCCCGACGGCGCCTTCCCCGGTCACCGCAGAGCCGACGTCCTGCACCTCATCAGCAACCCTTTCTGCCCCGAGGAGCAGGAGCACAGCCCCGGGTGCTGGCAGCACAATGGGGGCTCCATGTGGCCCCCCAAGGCCGGTCCCACACCCCACCTCCACCCCGGGGTGCCCAGGACTCAGGGCCGCCGGGCAGCGCTGGCCCCCATCCATTCCCGCACCAACCTGGTGGACGCGGAGCTGCTGGAGCCCGACTCGGATTTCTGATCCTGGCAGGGGTGGGGACGGCTGGGCTGAGACCTAAAGGCTCGTCCAACACCGGTTTTGGGGTTTTGGAGAGGGGACAGCAGAGCCCAGCTCGTCCCGTGGGATCCATCCCAAATATTCCACCAGCCTGATTGCTCCCCTCGGAGGATGGAGTTTCTCTGTGCATCACCCAGCCTTGGCAGGGTTTGGGATTCCCTGCAGCATCGCCAGGAGAAGAGGAACGAGCTGGCAGTGGAACACCCCAGAGATTTAAGGACAAGGGGGACACTCCCMGGGGTGGATTTGGGGCAGCTCGGTTTGTGCTGCCCCACCCAGGTACGCAGAGCTCAGACATTTGTGCCAACAGGGAGTTTTTTTACAAATTTTTTTACATTTTTAAGATATTTTTTAATCTTGGTACCATGATGGGGCCGGCCTCTGCTCGGGATCACCAGCATCACCCCCTTTTTGTGGGGTCACCCCAAAAGTGGACCCAAAGTGCCTCCCAGCTCCCCAGAGAGCCGAGCCAGACCCAGATCAGGATCAGCCACGGGAAGAGAAGCACCTTGGGCTGCTCCCTGAGCAAAAAAAAAAACCCCAAAAACCCCTTCAAACCTCAAGGTGCATCAGGGTCGGCAACCCCCAGAGCAAAGCTTGTTATTATTTTTTTAGGAAAAACAAAATTAAAAAAATCAAGTCACAGCAAAGCCAACCACGACAGGAGGGCTACRGTCCCTGCTGGTGTTCGGATGTTCCCAGTTTTTACTTGTTTTTTTTTATTCACTTCTGGTAGGCTCCTGGCTTTTTTTTTTTATTTTATTTTAATTTTTTTTGCTATCCCAGTGACCTTCTCGGGTTTGTTTTTGCTGTGTAAAGGAAAACCCTCCTGTATCAGTATTAAATTTACCAATTTTCATTCCCAACGGCTGCTCCGGGTTCTTTTGGGGAGGGGTCAGTGTGGGGAAAAATGGGGGGAGGGTTTGTCCTTTCTCCTAAAAACCTTCCTGCTTTAGAAACTTCTTTAAAAACTGTTTAAAAACTGTTTAAAACTGCTTTAACTGCTTTAAACTGCCTAAAACTCGCAGGGCAGTGTAAAAGGACCTGGGATCCTTTTGTGGGATCTATGGCACCTGGAAATAATAAATTCTGGAGGATTTCTCCATCTCCAGTTCCTCTCCTCAGCAGGACTCAGGATTTTGCCTTGATCAAGGGAGTGCAAAACAACCTGGTGTTTTTTTGTTTTTTTTTGTGGGATCTGTGACATCAGGAAATAATAAATTCCAGAGGATTTCTCCAGCAGGACTCAGAGTCAGGATTTCTCTCCTCAGCAGGACTCAGAGTCAGGATTTTGCCTTGATAAAGGGCGTGCAAAATAATCTGGGATCCTTTTGTGGGATCTGAGGCACCGGGAGATGGAGAATTCTGGAGGATTTTCCCATCTCCATGGTGCAGTGATGAGTTCCGGAGGGTTTCTCCATCTCCATGGTTCAATGATGAATTCAGAGGATTTTCCCATCTCCACGGTGTAATGATGAATTCCCGAGGGTTTCTCCATCTCCAAGGTTCGATGATGAATTTCAGAACATTTCTCCATCTCCACAGTGCGATGATGAATTCAGAGGATTTTCCTATCTCCATTGGGTGATGATGAATTCCTTAGGATTTTCCCATCTCCACTGTGATAATGAATTCAGAGGATTTTTTCATCTCCATGGTGTAATGATGAATTCCAGAGGTGTTCTCCGTCTCCACCGTGCAACGATGAATTTGGAGGATTTTCCCATCTCCACAGTGCGATGATGAATTCCAGAGAGTTTCTCCATCTCCACAGTGCGATGATGAATTCCAGAGAGTTTCTCCATCTCCAAGGTTCGATGATGATGAATTTGGAGGATTTTCCCATCTCCACGGTGCAGGGATGAATTCCAGAGGGTTTCTCTGTTTCCACGGTGCGATGATGAATATCAGAGGATTTTCCCATCTCCACGGTGCGATGATGAATTTGGATGATTTTCCCAGCTCCACGGTGCAAATGTGAATTCCGGAGGGTTTCTCCATCTCCACGACGATGAATTCTGGAGGATTTTCCCATCTACACAGTACGATGATGAATTCCAGAGGATTTTCCCATCTCCACGTTGTGATGATGAATTCCGGAGGTGTTCTCCATCTTCACCGTGCAACGATGAATTTCAGAG